ATTAAAACAATCTCTCACCATCATTTTAATCAAGCGGTAACAAGCTCGTATAAGGCAAGCAAGTACAGATAGCGAAATGTCTGCGTCGACATCGCCTGTTTTTCTTTTCGTAATACACGTTGCATTGTTGAACTTGTTCAGCGCTGTTTTAAATCAAACAATGACAAGTCGCCACAAATTAAACCTTTGGGAGTGGTGTTGTTATCATTCTGGCAGTTTCTTCTTGTATTACAATGGTACGCATCAAATGGTGGTGGTGGTATTAATTTAACCTTTTATTTACACTTACAGAACTCGTCAGGAAGGTGTGAAGAAGGGTCAGAAGTGGGATCCAGTGTTGACGAGATTAACACGTCTCAGGCTGGAAATCCTCACGCGTTAGTTCTGTCTACGTTCGAGACGATATGGAACGCTGTCTGTCAGTTCAGGTAAATCCTCTTCCTTCTAGGGTAGAGTACATTCAGGTCTCAGACATTTCTTTTTTCTGAACTGATGAGGTTGTTGTGGTGCTTCACGGCAAAGTGCCCATAGCTAAAAAGCAACGACCATTTTGACGTACGCCAGTGGCACACTGGTCAGCATTAATCAACAAACACCGAGCGATGTTGCAGCTTGTCGGAGCTAGGAAACAAAGACTGACTATCGATGTTCAGCATGTTGCAACTTCTTTGGAGAATATTTCCAATATTTAGTTCGATTTATTCTAACACAGTCCTGGCCTCGGCGTTCAGAATTGTTCAGAAGTTGCAACTTGTTGGACGGAATAGCGTCCATTTTTATTCTCCTTCAGCCACGTTTCACATGATGAATGGCCTATTTCAACGGTCATTCAAAATGGCTTGATACACTGTTCACATTTGTGGAATAAGTGTTGGAGCTTCTGTTAACCTTGCGTCACTGGCCTTAGAGTGTTCGTGCGTCTTCCCTGACAGTGGTTGATCTATTTTCTTTGAGCACCCTCTAACAAGAACCAGTGTTTAATAAAACAAATTCATCAACACCGCTTGAAAAAGCACGCACACGTGTACCCCGTGACTAAGTTTTCTCCTTACTTTTCGTTTACTGTTCTTTACATCTACACAAAGTTATTGCTTTTATGACAGTTTTATCCACTGAAAATTGTTTTGCGCGGTTTTTACTACCTGCTCATTTCCTAGTCCGAGAAATTGTCAGTTCGAACTGCCTACCGCGATTTATTATTTTTGTTTGTATCGGCTTTTCATTTAACAGTGCCCAGATCTACTCCGGAGTGGGATTCCCTCATCCTGTCCCACCAGACCTACTCAAAGATCTGACAAAGCCCACGCAAGAGGAAGCCGTCCAGTTTTTGGGCCGTCTCATGTCAAGTTTGACGCTTGTTGTCACTGCTATTCAGAGGTAACTACTTCAGTTTACTCCTTTAATTCTGCTAGTCTGTCGTTGCGCATTTAATGGAAGCGTTTTGTTGCTATTGGTGATACTTTTTCTTCCCTCCTTTACGCTATCTTTCTTCAATTTTGGATTTCTAGTGTTCTCCAGGAGCCCGTCGTAAATGAGATGGGGAATTTCCAAGCGTTTGAAGTGCTCTTGAAGGCAATCGTTAGATTTTTTAAAGAGGTGAGCGCCATAGTAATCTTGGTTTGATGTGATTTAGTGGGGTTTAGGAGTGATAGTGTTTATCGTTTGGTAAATATTTCTGTAAGAACTTTAGAAATGTTTTTCTAGGCCTGCTTTGAGCAACATCAAGCGTTAGTGTAACTGAGCGTGACAATAGTGTCGTGTGACTGTCCAAATTAGGGCTGTACAGAATGTGACGATGTTGTTAGTTCCAGGCCCTCGGGGTCCAGGATAGGTAAAGTTCCCGGAGGATAGCGCGCTTTCTGTTCTGTAATTACATGTAGCCGATGAAGCCTTTTTCCTGTGATTAAATGAGTTGTGTTCTTCAGCTTCTGTCAAGTTCATTGTCTCACAACTACGTTACACAGAAGACTTTGGTATGCGGTGTCTTAGTAGTTTCTTCCTTCTTTTTAGGTTTTGTCCATGAACACAGGCGTGACAGTTGCCGATCTGGTGAGATTTGCTCGGGATCCAAATGCAAGGTAACTTTCATGTTCCTCGACTGTTCTTGCTGCAAACAAAAATAAGGCTATACTGTACATTACTGTGTGTTGGCTGAACGTTTGTTAGTTTATAACGAGCGTTTGAAAAATGGCAGAAGTTAAGATCACTCCACCCCGATATTCAAACTATTGAATCACTTTCCATACACCTGTCACCTTATAATAATAATAATAATAATAATAATAATAATAATAATAATAATAATAATAATAATGGTTTATTAACAGCATTTCCATAAGAAAAATGGCTCCACATCTGCTAATAAAATATAAAAATATATAGTATATATTCAGCTAGAAGAAAAATACATTATTAGATCAGAAGCAGATATGTACGTGGAAAAAAAACTACAGTCAACTCCCTTTAAGGCGGACACTGTAGGGACCTGGAGTTAGTGTCCTCATTAGCGAGAGTTTATTTCAGTCAATCGTCCGTATTATCGGGGTGTCCATTATAGCGCGGTATCCGCAATGCAAGAGTTGACTGTACAACATTACTACACTTTACTTCGCTCTTTTAAAATATTGAAGGTCTGTTTGGAAAAAGACCCAAAATTGATGTGCGTCTCTCTCTTGTGCTGTCACCTTTCCTAGGATGGGCCTTATTCAGGGGTGCTCACAACTGGACCGCGCTTTGGCCACACTACAGCAGTGCTCCAGATGGGTGTCGTCCACCTTAGATCCCAACAAGGTCAGTTGGTGACGCCTAGTTAGAATCCGTGAGGTCAGGAAGTGTATGGTCTTAAGAGAAAACCGGGACATAACAATCTCATGGAGGGCTACAGATTAGTTTCCCCACACCCATGGTGCCGCCTGTTTGAACTGTTCTTGTCGGGTAAGAGAAAAAATTTCAGCGGCTCGTCATCAGAGGTTAAGTTAGGCCCCGTCCACACGAATCCCGATAATAATTATTTTGAAAGCGGATATATTTTTTTAAACATGAATCGGCCTTCCGTCCACACGAAACCAGTGAATGCGGTCACCGAAACCGCGTCTTTTTTAAATCGCTGTCCAGAGTAGATTTTTGTTTTTGTATCCGACGGTTTTGGCGAATTCGTGTAGACGACTGAAATCGGATATTTTGAAAACTGTATTTTAAAGTGAAATGGCGGACAGCAACCGGAGAACAACCTTCTGTTTACTTGGATACTGTTCTTTGAACAGTTCCAGTATATCATCGCCAGCTGGTAGTTGGCAATTGGAAACCGCAGTAGCGTATTCGTGTGGATGGTGAATCCAAACATGATACACAAAAACGAAATCGTGGTGACGCAAATATTGAGGCAACGCCCACTCGAATCCGGATATTTTTGAAACGGCATACTTTTTTTACACGAATCTGCCTTCCGACACGAAACCAGTGAGTCTGGACACCGAAACCGCATTGTATTGAAGCCATTCCAATAACGGTTTAAGGCACGAATCCGGATAGAACCACACAAATCTAGATAGAAAATATGATGCGGATTCAGCCTATCGGGATTCGTGTGGACGTAGCCTTGTTGCTATCACCTCTCTTGCATTGGATCCGACGGATTTGCGAATTCGTGTCGACGATTGAAACCGGATATTTTCGACTGCGGTTTCAGTCTGCTCGGATTCGTGTGACCGTCAGGGCCTATGCGTGGTTTGGTTGCACGTGGTCAAGAAATATATCATGAACAAACAACTTGTTTGTAATATATGTTTTATTTTCGATTTGAAAGGTGTATAAACACTTAATAGTCCAGTTTCGAATTAAAAATTACCGCTGAGTACAAATATTAGCGACACATTCATACAGGGTTAGCCTCGACATAACGTAGAATCTTCACAAATTCCGTCAAGTAAGTGTTTGAAATACGAAAATACACAGTAGACAGAGTAATAAAAAGGTTTTCTTCTCGTAGGAATTTGTAAATTTATTTACTTCAGATGGAGGCTGTAAAATATGCGTCTTCACTTCTTTTTTTCAGCGGTCATAGCCAACTCGAAACTGAACTATTATCGGTCCCACTGGAAACATTTTGGGTCTCTGTGAGACAAAATTTTCGTTTACTTTGGGCCTGTCGTGTAAGAGCTTATTCACTATTCATTATCGAAAAACGGGAAACGAGAACTAGAAACCGAAATGTTTCAGCGAACGGTTCAACATTTACTAGTTATATGACGTGATCTCAACCTTTTTACGTTCTCAGATAATATCTACTTTAAGTGGTGAGGTAGTACAACTGTGAACACTTTTCGGAGTGTTTGGTTCCCCGAGTCCGGTCTGTGTTTTTCAAAATTCTGTTGACAAAAAGAGAAAGGAGCGTTTTCGATGTTCTTTCGTCTTCGTCCTTATCTATTAGTAATTTCTTGGGTATACTAGGTACATTTATTTATGTTTTTGGCAACGTATTTATTTACTTGCTTATTCGTTATCGTTTTTTATTTTCACGCGCCCTGTTTCTAGGAATAGTCAACTCCTCAAAAGTAACTTTTAAAAGGATAACATATCAAATGGTTCCATTGAAAGGGCGTTAGCTTTTTGTTATCCCTTTCGCTTCTGATAGTGACCAACGGACAAAATTCTCAAAAACTCCAAACCTCTTTGTATAAAATACTAAGAAATTACTTGTGTGATGCAAAAGGTCTGGAAACGAGGTTTCATTTTAGTGGTCACACCATAGGATTTCATCTACAGACTCAGCAATTAGAACTACATACTAAATAAATAGTACCATGTGAAAGTACTGCTGAAGAGGTTTCATATGAATGGTAACATCATAGGATATGCTCCAGAGATTTAAAAGTTAGGGATTTTGACAAATCCTTCATGAGATGATCTACGACTGATTCGGGATTCGGTTAAAAAGTAATGGAAAAAAGGTTATATAGCTTTATTTTTGTAGAAAACATCGTTTGACATAACATTCTTTAAAATCCATTGTCTTTACATGTGACATTTGATATCTATAATGAAGTGAAATAACAGAGTATATTTAAATCAATGTATAGTGATTGCACTGGAGATGTTGGTCATTAAAGTTTTTAAATTCCTTGTTGGATTTCGTGATATTTTTTCACTGTGTAAATAGGCTGCATTGTGCATGTTCACAGGGTTAAAGAGCGACAAATACGCAATATAATTGCCACTGAAAAATCACGAACTTTTGCTCAATTTCATCCAATAATTGTTTTATCATTTACCCAGGTTAGCCTCCTCCACAGGCTTCACTGTCCAATTTTAGAGAACGAGTGGGAGAATGGGAGAGAATATTTTTTCCTTTTCTCGTTCTCATACTCCTCACGGTCAGTGTGACCGTTAGAATAGGAATTGCCTGCGGAGGAGGGGGCTATACCCAGGTTGCTGGTTACATGATTAAGGTATCATCCATGGTAAAAATTCATAAGTTTTCAAAATTTGCAGCTTTTAGATGAATTCCAGAAACAAAATTAATTGCGGAGACGTATGGAGCGCAAGAGTCTTCGATGCTCATGTGCCAGGCATTTTGACTTATCGGTGGAAAAACATTATGATTTTATCACAGGAAGCAGAGTAGTCAGGTTTGTAGCCTGAGTATCAGGGAGTATCCGGCGTTTCTGGGGGAGGGGGGGGGGGGGGGAGGAGAAGAGAGTAGCGGAAAGTCCTCAAAAATCTCCTCTCCCCTAATCAATAAGTAAGGCCTGTCAATCAGTCTAAAGAATTTTATACTTCTTTAATTGCCGTTAATCAGTTTCTTTCTCTGATCTCGACGGTTCAACGCTATACAGTCTTTTCGATCGTGCTATTCGTTCACCGTTTCTCGAGCGCTTATGCGGATTTAATGGGTGTCTATGTAGTTTCAAGTTGCCTCAGTATTGGTTTAATTCCTATTGACCGCCAATATTGACAAACTTCATGAGGTTGCCTTCTTTTTTTATGATGGCTTTAGCCTCACATAAATGCAACTTTCTGATTTTGAATCAAATTTTAAATGCAATATTACCCAACCCAAATTTTGTTACTTTAAGAAATTTTTCAATCAGTGAACCCTTAATTAAAAAAATAAACAAACTTGACAAAATAATAAAGACTTGCTGAACACTTTACAGCACAGCGAAAAAACAAACACGATCATCTCAACGACAATAAATGTTCTCCCTCGCAAATAAACATACCGAATACCGTAACCAATACTACATCAAACGGATCAGTTGCCTACAACCTTCGAGAATTTCTTGACCATACTTCTTGTATTCGGAACTTTAAGCTATACAATTTCCTCGCCGTGTATCCGGCTTCTAAAATTTCCTGTGGTGGTAGGTCGGCAGGGAAAATAGAAAAGAACTTCGGAAAGTCAGGGGAAAGTCAGTTTTCATTTGACGCAATACACCTGTCCGCTTGGAAACGTCCGCGTAATTTTGAGAGAAAATGTTTTGAATTTTCACTAAATTGTGACCGATCACTTGGAGAAGAACAACCTAGAAATAAAAGTTTGTATTTGAAAGTGAGCTTATTCAGAAAAGTTACCAGACTTATTATGCCGAATGACAGCAAAAATTTCGATATCTATATTTACTCAAAATAAATTTTTTGAGGTCGTGGGATGAAGGTTCCAGATACTAGGGAATTGTCTCTTACTGTGTGCCTGGGGATAAGGATAGACCGCCAAGTAAGACAAAATTACAAAACCCGGGGGTGTTTTTGACGGATGTAGTAACATTTGGATTATAATCATGCACGTAAATTGTCTACATTGAACTGCAGTGGAGTTAATGTTCTTAATGTTAACAAAACAGTAAGACGCTTAAATGCTCTTCACCTGTCATTGTTGATCCCTCTAGGAAAAATCCATCATATTTCAGACTTTTTAAAGCAAGCCTTGACAGTTATATAGAACTGTTAATAAGTTAAAGGTCTGTGTTTAAAGTTGATCGACACGGACTCTGTTATAACGGGTGTTGTCTACGAACTTACAAACTAAACCATATCGGCGCCTCACAGAGGTGAGATTCCCTTGGATCAAAGAGATGAATGGCAACACTGATTCCTCGCTTAACTTTTCTATAAATTGCCGCGAAAGGTTCAGAGAGTATTTTTTGGAGAACACTATCACTAGTTTGTTCTCCATCGCCCTGAACTTAGGATCATGCCCTGTTATCATCTTGATGAACGTGTTGATTATCATCGCGATAAAAACACGACGCAGATTACAGTCCGAGTACAACATACTACTGGCTTGTTTAGCACAGCCGTTATTCATCGCACAAGAAATCTACTTTCTGTCGCGTGCATCGCTTTTGCATTATTGTTACTTCTCCAGACTGATAGTTTCTGTTTTCTTGTTCTATGTATTGAATCCTTGCTTGATCTTTTTAGCTATACTGAGTACTGAGCGTTATATAGCCATGAAGTATCCACTAGCATCGTGACCCACATCAAGGTTAATAGGCGCTGTAATTTGTAGTTGGCTTATTTCAGCCATTTCACTTCTACTTTTCTACGCAACTGCTTTTCTAGCCATTTATATCATTGTTTTCTGTCACACTAAAGTTTGTTTTGTCTCTCGCCGTCATATGAATCAGATCAAAACACAACGCCTCCCAAGTATAACGAAAGCCAAATTCTTAGTGGAAAGAAAGCTTTGAAAACTACCAGTATAATAGTCGGATTCATATGTGCCAAGCATTTTACGCAGGGTAATCAGATTTACTGGAGTCCAACTCAAGCAGTTACACTGGGTGTCGATCGCTTTGTTATGTAATTTTTTGAATTCCTTATTTAATCCTCTTATTACTGTTGGAGAAACAAAGATCTGCGTAAAGTTGTGATGGAACTGTTAAACATCAGACAAAATGGAAACTAACTTTTTAAAGTTAAAAATGACGTCATTGCGTGCTTGAATCCTTTTGAATCATCGATTCTTTTAGTTTTTACATCATAGGATGCTTTTCATGTTCATTTGTAAGTTATCAACAGGATACTTTGTTCATTCTGCACATTATAGTAAAGTGAATTTGATTGTAAACTACATATAGTGAATCACGCGTTTCGCTCGATAAAAGCTGAGTGCATTACATAATGAAACTACAACATCCTTCATTACACCAAACCTTTGAACATCGAAGATGGTTGACAAATATCGCTCCGTCTCTTGATCAAGCAGAAGTTAATACATGACAACTAAAAAGTGGAATGTGATGTTATCTCAATGCCTTGGTCTAGACTGTATGAAAGAATGCGTCAAATTTGCCCACGCCTCCAAATTAAACAATTGCGTGATGACGTCATTTTACTGTAACTACCAGAATACCTCAGTTTGTTGTTTTCTTGTGCAAATTAGGGCTCATGTTTTTTAAGGTGACTCGACCCAGTTATTTTGTGAGGGTACCATCCTACTTTGAAGCTCTCTGGTATCCCCACCTTTACTTTGATCGTAAGTCTAACACATAGCGTGGATAACTATAGATCAATCTACAATATAGCAGAAAATTTTTGGCGATCGCTGTAAATGTCACGTGGTTATAGCGCCACGCCTCTTTTGGGTCTGAGTCGAAATTCTGCTGTTGCCGGCATTTTTTCGTGAAAATCTCTCGGCTACATATAGTGCGTATTAGTGCCTTTCGTTGAACAGACTTTCACCAATAGACCCAATGCGAGAAATTCAGCGGTTTCCAAATTTAGGTCATAATTTATTTCAAAATGATAAGCAAACTTTACACGATTATATCTAATAAACTGTGATATTCATCCCTTTATTTTGGGGATCTTTATAACTGATGGGTCCTTGCAAGTCAGCAAAAAGCTTTTGAGCAATGGCCTTGTTTGTTGATTTGAGCGAATTAACCATTTTGTCGACATGCCTGTTTAAACGCTTCTCAGATACAAATTCCGTATTTACCAACAAAGGGTAGTTGTGGTTTGTGGCGAATTTGATGAACGTTCTGAATGGGCATTTGGACAAATCCCCAGACCCGTCTGTCCCCGGTCAAGTGGAGCCCTGCACTGAAATAGAACAAACTTTAAATGGGGTCTAAGCCAAATAGCTGGTTTTTTGAAAATGCATTTGTGCGTTAAAAACACTGGGGGGCTAGGGGATTTGTCCCTCTTGATTTGTGAGGTTTGAATGGGCATTTGGACAACTGTCGACCTCGTCCCCAGGGCTTTTTCCTTAAAAAATGGGTGGGGCGGGAAAAGGCGCTATGTGAAAAGCTAAAATTATGCGTAACTTCACGGCGGGCGATCTTGGGAGGCCTTTTATATCTCTTGACGATTAACGAAAAGTTTTTCAAGATTTCCTTTTTGTCACAGATACTAGCCATGGTAATTTTTTGCTTTCCTCTGATTTCTATGAAGGGGACAGCGAGTAACATTTGTAAAACCTCTGTTTATAGAGCGGTATAAATGACAAACAAGCTATCACACATGCATAAAGTATGTACCGGAAAAGGCCGCTTTCTCGACTCTTCTGATATTTTATTTCATTTCTTGCGAAGTGGGCCGCCGTACACAGCCTAGTTATTCACCTTAGTTGATTTCTTGTTTGTCGCGACTTTTGTCTTGCCTAGTCCCTAGGCCTCACTATTATGTGTGGCCGATGCGTTTCGGGTCACGTGGTCCGATAAAGTTTTTGAGGCCTAGACAAACTCGGAGAAGTGAGGCATTTTGTCTTACTTGGGGCGGAGCTTTTATGGGAAGCGGGCGAGCTGTCAATAACTTTTCCGCGCTGATGAAAGATGTCCATCAGCCATGGAGAGTACAGAGGATAAAGAGCTAAACCGAGCATTATTATTCAATGCACGTTTTCATTGTTGAAAGTCCTTTGGCCTTTCTTTTTCATTTATCCCATTAAACTAATTTGAACATTATTTCATCTCAAAAACTATTTGTAGGTTAGGCAAAACAGCGTCGCAAAAAAAATTATTTGATCAAGAATCGGAAGGTAAGGTAAAGAAATAAGTTTGTCTTTATTCTTGGATATGAAAAGCCATCTTTCGTTTCTCTATTTTCGCTTGCTCCTATAAAATTCTCGTTATCATTTCACTTCGAAATATTTTATGTAATTTAATTCTTGGATTTGGAAGCTTATCAAGCTAATCGGACAGGCTGTTGAATTTGGTCTCTAAATTTGGTAGAATGTAAACGAACTACTGTTTCAAATCTTTTTATCAATAAAGAAATATCATTTTAATGGTTCATTTTGAAAATGAACTAAAAGAGAAATTTTTTTTGTCATCAAAATAAAAAAAATGACAAAAGTCAGACAAACATTTTAAATTACTCTCACTGACGTCAATTGTGCGTTTGCTATTCATGCCGTTCGAACTGTCTCTAACCCTCATTTCCCCACCCCCCCTACTATATTTCTAATGGCCCCTATGATCAATTTGTAGCCGAAGTAACAGGCAGTTGCTCGCAGTAAGTTGGTTGGTTGACTGTTTAGAATACGTTTATCAGGTGGTCAGTGTGATGATTTAGTTGTTGTCATGGCTACATAATAGCTTAAATGTTTTTGATTGACAAGAAAATTTCAGTAGATAAGCCCTTGACATTAAGAAATATTACAAAATACGACAATGTGTTATTAAAATTCATGACAGCTAGGCTTATTACAAATTACGACAACGTGTTATTACAATTTACGATAGCTTGGTTATTACAATTCTCGACAACTGTTATTACAATTTACGACAGATATTACAAATCACGACATTATTACAATTCACGACAGAACACTTATCCGACACAAAATTCATTTCTATTTTAAATAGACAGCAACATCTGTGATTTTTTGTCTCCTTGAATTTACTGCCAAATTCGTTGTATCGCGCTGAGCGTTTTCCAAACTTCGAAGGAGTTTTTGGGACCCAGATCGTTCCCGGTCTTCACAGTTGCTTTACTCTACTTGTCTACTGTGGACGAACTTACAAACTGAAACATATCGACTCTTCACAGACGTGAGATCCCCTTGAAAAAAAGAGATGAACGTCAGCGCTGATTCCGCACGTAATCATTCAATCAATTGCCGCGGAAGATTTCAGGAATATTTTTTGCAGAACACTGTCATTAGTTTGTTCTCCATCGCCCTGAACTTGGGATCCTGTCCTGTTATAATAATGATGAACGTGTTGGTGATCGTCGCGATTAAAACAAGACGCAGATTACAGTCCGACTACAACATACTACTGGCTTGCTTAGCGGGAACAGATCTAGCGGTGGGCTTAGTTTCACAGCCGTTATTCATCGCACAAGAAATCCTCTTCCTATCGGGTGCATCGCTGGTTGATTATTGTGACTTCTACAGAAAGATAGTTTTTGTTTTTCTTGTTCCATGTATTGAATCGTTGCTGATCTTAGCTATACTGAGTACTGAGCGTTATATAGCCATGAAGTATTCTCTTAGATATAATAGCATTTTGACCACTCCCAGGTTAATTGGCGCTGTAGTTTGTAGCTGGCTTATTTCAACCAGTTCTTTAATTTTCTGGTTAATACCAGCAACGCGTTCCAGGCTTTCAGGACTACTTGTTTATGCAACTGTTTTTCCAGCCACTTTAATTATCATTAGCTGTCATACTAAAGTCTATTTTGTTTCACGCCGTCATATGAATCAGATCAAAACACAACGGCTCCCAAGCGAAACAAAGGCCAAATTTTTAAAGGAAAGGAAAGCTTTGAAAACTACTAGTATCATAATCGCCTTTCTGTTCCTTTCATTTGTGCCAGGCATTTTGCACGGGGTAATCAAACTTACCGGAGTCCAACCCAGGAATTACTATGAAAAGCAGTTACACTGGGTGCCAATCGCTTTTTTGTGTAATTTTTTGAACTCCTTATTCAATCCTTTTATTTACTGTTGGAGAAAGAAAGAACTGCGTAAAGTTATGATGGAACTACTCAAAATCAGGCAAAATGGAAACTAACTTAAAATGACGTCATCGCACGTTCAAGGGCATAACGACGACGATTTTCAACTTCACGTCTACTCGAATCCTTTCGGAAGCATCTAAAATTTTTCAATTTTGTCTATAATGATCAGTTCTTTTTATGTTCTTTTGTAAATTATCCATAAGATACAATACAATGTTAACTTGAGTTTAGTACATTTGATGGTAAACTATATGCAGTGATCTGTGATATTAACTTTCTGATCTAAAATACATTACATAAGGAATATTTTTTTTGTAATGTATGAGCATTGCCTTACAGGGCCCAGTTGTTCGAAGGCCGATTAGCGCTTAACCCAGGGTTAAATTTAACCTGAGTTTCTTTATCTTTTGTTAAAAAGCATTTTCTCCGACAATTTTCTCTGATATTCATAGAGCATCGAATCATCAACTTGTTGACAAAAGAACTAAACTGAATTTACTTTATAAGCTTTCATATTTGAATTCAAATTTTGCACTTACCCTGGGTTATCTTAACCCAGCTTTGAACAACCCGGCCCAGGATGTTCA